AACTCGAGATCATGAGTGGGGTAGTTCTGCTCGTGAGGCTTCAGCTGCCTCGAAGCATAGGCTACGACTTTCCCCTGCTGCATAAGGACACATCCCAAACCCATCTTCGAATCATCACTATAGATGGTGAACTCCAAAGTAGGGTCGGGTATAGATAGGACAGGCGTGGTAGTGAGTCTCCTCTTCAACTCCAGGAAACTCTCCTGGCACTGAGGATTCCAATCGAACCTCACGGCCTTCTTCGTAAGGTTGGTCAGTGGCTGGGCTATCTTCGAAAAGCCCTCGATAAACCTCCTGTAGTATCCTGCTAACCCCAAGAAACTATGAACATCTGCAGCACTTCTTGGCGTATCCCACTTGCTCACAGCCTCAATCTTGCTGGGATCCACCTCAATGCCTCGAGCTGTCACAATGTGGCAAAGGAATGCCACACGGTTCAGCCAGAACTCGCACTTCGAGAACTTAGCATACAACTTCTCGCGGCGAAGAGTCTCCAGCACAATCCTCAAATGCTCCTTGTGCTGATCGATGTCTCGGGAATAGACCAGAATGTCGTTGATGAACAAAATGAAGAACTGGTCCAGGAAAGGATGAAAGACCCTATTCATAAGGTCCATGAATACGGCTGGGGCATTGCTGAGTCCGAACGGCATGACTACGAACTCATAGTGGCCATAGCGGGTACGGAAAGCAGTCTTAGAAATATCCGACTCCCGGATCTTCAGCTGATGATAGCCAGAACGCAAGTCAATTTTTGAGAAGACGCTGGCTCCTCTCAGCTGGTCGAAAAGGTCCTCAATACGGGGAAGGGGTACCTGTTCTTGACTGTAAGGGCATTCAACTCCCGATAGTCAATGCACATGCGCATAGATCCGTCTTTCTTCTTTACGAATAGCACGAGCGCACCCCACGACGAGACACTCGGACGAATAAAACCGAGCTTAAGCAACTCCTGGATCTGGGCCTTGAGCTCTTGAAGCTCCTTCGGCGCCATACGATAAGGGGCCTTAGAAACGGGGTTGGCTCCGGGAATTAGGTCAATGGTGAACTCCACCTGGCGGTCTGACGGTCCTCCGGGTAAGTCATCAGGAAAGACGTCGAGGTACTCACAAACGATAGATACTCTCTCGGGCACCCGCTCATCAACGACGTCGGATACCATGGAAACAAGATAGCCTTGACAGCTACCCTTGGAAAGGCTCTTCCTAGCTTGCATAGAAGAGATGACCCGAGGCACAGTCCTCGAACTCACCCCAAAGAACACAGCAGGCTGATCAGAAACGGGATAGAGGGTGACTTCGCGCTCCTGGCACCGGATATCGGCTCGGTAACGGGTGAGCCAGTCCATGCCCAAGATCACGTCAAAGTCTCGCATATCAGTTACATAGGCATCGGCCTCTAGAACTCGACCACCAATATAGATAGGGAGATTGCGAACCACAGAATCAGAGACAATAATTTTTCCCGAGGCTAAACTAACCTCGAGAGGATCACAAGCATGCACGGTGCCAAAAGATAAAGCCTCCAAGCAACGAGAAGAAATAAAAGAATGGGTAGCACCGGTATCACATAAAGCAAAAACAGGCACATGGGATATCGAAAGCATTCCGGACATGGTACCTGTGTTACGAGCGACCTCATCATGGGTGATGGTATAGACTCGGGCCTGACCCCCAGCCCTCTGCTGGAACGGTGGGGGCTGCTGATGCTGCTGATGAGGTGGCGGTGGGGGAAGCTGCTGCTGCTGCGGAGGGAACTGCTGCTGCCTCTTGGGCTCAGGACAGACACTGGCATAATGGCCCGGACGGTTGCAATTGTAACAAGCTCGCTGGTCTGCTAGGCACTCTCCGGCGTGGAACCTGCCACACTTAGGGCACCTCGGCAGTTGACCCTGGGTGGGTCGGTCGTCGCGTCTGCCAAAATTTCCCTTCTTGCCCTTTTTCTTGTTCTGATAATCAGATTTTCTCTTGCCCGAACTAGAGCCGGGCTGCACAGACGAGAGGGGCTGAGCATGCTGGACAATGGCCTGGGATGGCTGGGAGGCATGATAGTAAGAAGGAACTGGAGCCAATGGAATGAGACATCTCTCGACCTCCTGAGCTCGACTCACGGTGTCAGCATAGGACCTCAGTCCGTGACTTCCCACCAGTTCACGGATCCTCTGGTTGAGCCCCTTGAGAAACTTGCAGGCCTTCTTGGCATCGGTGCTCACCGCGTCGCCCGCAAAAAGGCACATGCGGGTGAAAGTGCGGATATACTCATCCACTGTAGAGCTGCCCTGCTGCAAGTGGTAGAACTCATGCTCCATCTTATCCCAAAAGCTCTGGGGAAGGAACTTGCTGCGCACCATTATCTTCATTTGCTCCCAAGAGAGTGCATGGAGCTCCGCCTCTGGCCTCCGAGCCCAGTGGTCAATCCACCAATCGGAAGCGTCCTCCTTCATCTGGTAAGCTGCAAGGGATACCCGCTGACGGTCAGGAAGGGGAAGTACAGCGAAGATCTTGTCCAGTTCTTTGATCCACTCTACCACCGCTGTGGGGTTCTCAGTCCCCGCAAAGGTTGGTGCATTCATCCTTTGGAACTGAATGATAAGCTGAGTAAGGTCCATGGCCGGAGCGGCCTGGTGCTGACGAGGAGGAGAAGGAGATGGGGACGCCTGACGGTTACGATTGCGAGTATTCATACTTCTACATTGAATAAGTCTAACAAGGTTAAGCACAAGAACAAACAGAACAATCAATATATACTGAAGTCTAGAGTTCTCCATAACACTAGAGTTCGATAAAATCAAGGTGGATAGATCCTAAGCCCCAAATCACAAGTTCATCACGAGTAGTTTCATTACTACATGCGTATCATTTACATATCAAGTATTTTCATTAATACTTAAACAAAACATACCTTAAGCAGCGCGGAGTGACGGAGACGAGTGGTCATAACACAAGGTCTAAACACATACTCACATATTAACGAGTCTACAGAAATACAGACTGGCTCTGATACCAAACTGTAACACCCCACTTTGATTTTAAAGAAATTCCGGACTTTCTAAATATCAGTGTAAAATTTTCAAAATCATTTTCGAAAATTCAATGGATGTTAAACAACATTTTTCATAACCCAAGTCTTATCTGGGCTCACGGGGATTCATTACCCGGTTTTCACAAACGGTTTTCATTAACCGAAACACATCACGAGACATAATACTCAACATGCTTATGTCATCAACCATACTACCCAACAATCTGGGTTTCACAAATTTTCGAAAACAACAAATCATAGGTTTTTGGAAAATATCATAATCAAGTCTCAACATAATGGTTCATAAAACCTTATTCGTACGGAAGCGATAAACAAATAAAAACAACCGACCCACTCGTCTCTTCTCGTCACCCAGCTCCTGCTTAACCTGCATCGGTAAAGAGCAGGTGGGGATGAGCACTAGATGAAAAGTGTGCTCACCACTATGCACATAAATAATACATGTTAAGATGGTATGGTCGCAGTATGAATATAAATCAATCATCATCATGTCTCTTCTCCTAATCTCAACAATAACTCACTCATGTGCACATCTATCATTAGTCGCAGAAAGGGGATGCATAAACCCTAACGACGGGAGTGCGTGCCACTGTAACGGACATGGCCTTTCATTAGGTCTTAAGGAGACTTGCCTCGCAAGGGCAACCGTACCGTAACTCGACTGGGACAACCGTACCGACGGCCGTAACAGCTCACATCCCACATGGTTCACATTCATACATAGGTCATTCCAACCAAATACGTAAACACACGTATGGCATAGATAACTTTATAAGTAAAACCCACCTGGTATCCGGAGGATAAAATCACAGAAATTCGAGGAAAAGGTAGGCCGAGACACAGCTCGTCACACACCTACATTACACAAAATAGTCCTATGAAAGCCTATCTAACACACAATCACTTAACTACACTCATGTGATATAAATTAGCCACATACTTCAACAATAACAAATAACATAACTGTAGACCAAAAATGGGAATGAACAACTCGCATGGTCTCAATATTTCCAAGGTAACATGAGCTATAAGCATGCTATTCAAGTGATTCCAAAACAAACAAGTAGTTAACACATATATACACAACTGTTATGTTGATCACTTAAGCCAAAAATAGCTTTATAGCCGAGTTTAAGCGTAAGACACTTAGGTAAAGAAATCTGCCAACGCAACTTTTATCAATTACAGCAGGTCGCTAAAACAGAGATATCTCATGCCACAAAATCCTAAATCATGCAAACTCAAAACTTACAGAAACTACACTTGAATTTCTATAAGTTCCAAGAAGAGCATTTTTACAAATAACCACGTTAAGGGCTTCATTTCAGAGTATACAT